TCTTGCCAAAAAAACTATATTATGACCGGAATTACTCAAAGTATCTCTATAGAGTCATCGTGTTACTTTTTATCCTTGTTCTTTTGTTATTAACATTAAAACTTCTTCACTTTACCTAAGCCTCAAAGCTGAATCATTCCAGATTGTATCCTACCTGCTATTACATTACAAGATAACCAACATATATGTAAATTAGTGAATAATTATAAAATTAGATTAGAAGGTTATCTAAAGCCTGAACGGTTGTGATATAAAACCATAAAATACTGATCAACTAATGGTCAATTTTTATTAAGCTTTGATCAACTGATATGCTAACCAGACCCATCATTCATTTTACTTGCCGATTGATTTCATTATCAATCTGGTTACTTGATAAGTAGCTGCATCAAGTTTCGATAAAGCCAAAAAAAGAAGATTATTTTGCACGACATATAAAAATGCTGGAACAGCCATTTTCAAAGTATCTTTCGACTTGATATAACATTCCGTGTAAATTTCGTTCATGAATCCCACACATTCCCATGCTGGAAATAATGCTGATCATCCTTTCAAACCAACAAAAGAAAGAATTATATATTTTATAAAATACCTTATCCGCAGGCTGCATATTTCCCACTGATTTCAATATATTACTAAAATTAAAAATAAAAATACGCATTTGCATACGTATATTTTAATAATTTTGAACTGTAAATGAAAGAAAAAAATTCATTTCGAGATGACTTGATTTTTAATCAAGGATAACAATCAGTTCCCTTATCATTTTCTTTCAGTATGTTTATGTACATTATTAAAAATGCACGTACAGTGTTGATGTGCAATAAAGACGATACACGTAAGCAGCTTGATTATTTCAGCAGTAACTACAGCTGTCGATGACAAATATCTGAAATAAAACAGTTAAATAGCTAACTTGCACTTCCTAATTATTATATGTCCAACTACCATATCTCATAAACAATCATGAAATTATTTCAAAATAAAGTGAGATATAAACAAAATACCGCTTAATACAACGGAATCAATCTATTAAATTTCACCAAAATTCTACAACCAATTTATAATTTCATATTTTTTAATCCACTAGTAAACATACATTTGTGTTTTTACAATCGGAAATGATGGAAATGTTGTTGGCTACGCCGACAATACAAGGAATCCTCATTAAGCTAGTTTACGTAACTTTAATATCATATCACGTATATGATTCGTACAAGTTTCATAAACATTGTTAAACTTCAAATGTAACTCACATAAATTCTGAACTGTAACAACCAAACAACGATTACAAAACGTGTGGATGCTATCATATTTAATCAGGACTTATGTGTATCAAAGCATTATTTAATCAGATCAAACAGATTACAGTCAATAAGTGAATCTAACAAACTACGAAAACTTTCGAACTAATCAAACTTAAAATTTCATTATAATTTAAGTCATACCTTGGTCCATCAACTTTTTGTACACGTGAATAGTGTAAAACTAAAACAAGAACTGTCGTTTGAAGGATTAATACAATTAGTGATGCCCATTTTAGATTCTTCCTATCCATCAAACAATGAAACTTCTCCCTCAGTGACGAATATCGTCCAGAAGACGAAATAATCGAAAATTTAGAGGATAAAAATTCACCCTGCTGCTGATCCAGATGATGCACCATTTCGGTTTCATCACAATCGAAGTATCACCAATGCAACAAATCCGTCTTTCATCATTTCTTGATTGCTGACAATTGAAATTTAAATATTCATCATCGTTTTAAGCTAAATTATCAAAATTTCTAGATCATTCTATCATGCTTTTTTTTTTTTGCCGGATGTATCATCTATTAACGGATTCCTCACAATCGTAAATCTTGATTGTATTCAAATTAATGAAGTAATGAAAATTGAAAGTTTGTACAAGCCAAGTAAATTATCATAAACAATAAATAAACTAGGATTCTTGTATGAAAATATTGAATCGGAATTATTCAATTTCCTGATTTGTTGACGTTCCGGATACTATCAATAGAGTGTATTTACTTGAAAGGGTACCATTGGTGCCTAATTCTAATTTCAACTACCGGTTATTTCAGTCGCCTGAATTCCGAGTACTATTAATACTAAAATGCCTAAAACAGTACCATTGGTAGTTAATTCCGGTTTCAACCACTAATTATTTCATTCGTTAAATACTGCTTACTGCAGTATTTCAGTAACCACTTCGATTTTTTTTTTTTTTTTTCAAATTATTTATCATACTTCAATGTTATACGTCATTGTATTAACTTATGGAATTGGACGTAAAATAATTCAAAAAGTGAAAATAAAAATAAAAGTAATTATATCAGATATAAATTAATTCATGGAATTATTTAAAAATTAAAATAGATTCAAAAATATAATCTATAATCTTTAATCCATAATTATAATCTTTCATATGCTAATTTTTAAAGTTGCAATATTATCATTGCTGTTACTGCTTGGAACAAATTCTTGTAGTAATGATCAAATTAACTGAACTAGTTTTTGAAATTTAAAAATAAAAAATAACGAACAGCAATTCATATTAAGTCAATTTGAGAGAAAAAAAAAGGAAAGAGAGAGAGAGAGAGAGAGAGAGAGAGAGAG